TGGCCTTGTGACAATACAGATGAATTCCATTGGCACTTCCTCCACTTGGCCAGTGAATATTGGCAAGGATCAGGAATTTGTCTGCCAGATTTGTATCCCTACCGATTGACTGACAAAGCTGAGGCTGCCAAGAACTGTCACCCTTGACAGAAGGTTTTTATTAGACTAGTTGACAATAGCCAATAGATATGAGACAGTGTCTCTGTGTTCTGGTTCAATGGATTCTGAACACTGACAAATCCAGAAAATGTTGCCACCCTCATAAACTAGGGCAAAACATGTGAACAAGCATATTTCAATAAATGATTACAGATCTGCTTTTATCTTACATTGAGATCACTTGTTTAAAACATAACAAGTTAAAATTGTCTTAAAAATGTATTCATCTTGACCGAAAGGCCTTGGTACTTTCTGGATCATACCTTCTATCAATATTGTATTATATAATCAGCCCTCTATATACATGAATACTTTTTGTAGGGATCCAATCATCCTAGTTTACCATTTTATATAAAGAAAGCTGTTTTACTATGCCATTTTGTGCAATGGGACCTGAGCATCTTCAGATTTTAATATCCAGAGGAAGTCCTGGAGATAAATCTCAACAGATACCAAGGGCTCACTGTATATCTATTTATTGAGTGAGAAATCCAAGAAAAATCCCATCTATCAATTTTAAGACCTTTGTCACATGTACTTCTGCCAAATATTTGACTTGATACTCAGAAACCCAGTGTTGAGTTGCCAGCCATGTACTTGCTTTTGATTGGATTTGAAGAAGTGAGTACCTGTGCTAAAACCACAGGGGGGGGGGTCATTTCTCAACCTGATGTATCTTTAAGGTGGGTGCCAAGCACATAGTGACTCCCTCTCTGCAAAGAAGGAGTGGTCAAATTCCTATCTCGCTCTGTATTGTGAGAAGAAACCTAGCCATTTACCACCCTTCATCATACCCAGCATATATGCTTGCCAGCCAGAGTTTTACAGGCCCAGGCAAAACTCTGTCCTCTTGGCACATTTCCAAAACTGAGGGATACAAATCCAGAGAAAACATTTCAGCCGAGTTGTCTTGGCAGTTAAAGCAAATGGAAGTACTGTCATAGCAAGGTGTCCCATGAGTACGATGGCTGTATATTTAATGTAGTGTAAATACACACATTATGGGCTGAAGATAGAAATAAGAAATGTGGAGGGATGGCTGGCCCCATTTGTAAGGTGGCCAAATCACTGTTTGTCTTTTAAGTCCAACTGTACACTCAGCCAGCTGGTGTGGAGCAGACCATTAATATTTTCAATGTGTAGTTTGTATTTGTAGTTTTAAAAATAGGTTGCACAAGGGAACGTTTTGAGGCATATTAGGATGGAGAGGTGTCCTAATTCCATTTGCACAGTCTTAACACCCCTTCTTTCTCCTAACAGTTATTTGCCTCTGAAGGTAACAACTCTCTCCTTGGTTTAAGTGGCTATCCCCATTGCCACCTTTAAAAAATGATTTTCAAGAGCCAAGGCTTATTCCTGCCATTCCAGGAAGCAAAAGATTCTAGTGTGTGCCAAAGGTAGCGTGACCAAGAAGAGACCAGGGATCATGACTTTGGCTTGTCAAGGGAGAGGCTGTTTTGAGTTCCATGCAAAGTACAGATGGAAATTCCATGTTTCATTTGGACATTTACATTTGAAAGAGGTACAAAGCTGTGACAATGAACAACATAACACTGTCAGGTTCATAACCATGAGGAATATTTTAGAACATGCATTTTCCTCATGGCACCCGAGCCAGCGCGGTGTAGTGGTTTGAATACTGGACTACAATTCTGAAGACCAGGGTTCAACTCTCTGCTTGACCATGGAAACCTTGGTCGAGTCATACACTCTCAGCCCCAGATAACCCCATAATAAGGTCCCCTTAGAGTCACCATAATCTGGAAATGACTTGAAGTCACACAGCAACTCCCACCTGGCTGATACTGTTTATACAACCATCCTGCTTTCCTGGGCTCAAGTGACCCAGGGACAGGGGATGGCACTTTCTGGGTTCCTTTTTTCACTGGGTTTGGCACTTACTGGATGACAACTTCCCATGCAATACTGTATTCCAGATCAGACAAAGGATGAGTGGCAGTTAGTTGTTTTATTTTTCCAAATTAAAAATAAATAGATAAATAGATAGGTGAAAATTTTGTGTTATAGCCATGCCAATGATAGGAAAGAGTAGAAATCAACTGGTTTAAAAGTTTAATGTTTGTGTAATGTTTAATGCTAGTATAAAAATGTTGAAACATTTGGTGTTAGTCTATTTTGGTTTTTATATGAGTGTGTTGTGTGGCTGTTAAGCTGTTTTGTCAATTTGATAAATGTATCAGAAGCATTTAGCTAATGATATATCTGTATTTATATAAAATAAAGTTCAAAGCCATGGGCGTATTAGTCTGGAATATAAGTATCCAAAGAGATACAGAGAGAGAGAGAGATCCCTTTCATACTGAGATACTTAAATGAACACACACACATGATATTTTGCATACTGAGATTATATATGTGTGTGTGTGTGTGTCCCAAAAGTTGACATAATAATAATAATAGTAATAATAATAATAATAACTTTATTTTTGTACTCCACCGCCATCTCCCCAAAAGGACTTGAGGCGGCTTATATGGGGACAAGCATGAGGTTCCACATAATTAAAATAAAATGTAACACAAAATTCATAAAAAACATTTCAACAATATAAAACAATTGCAGAATACAATACATAGCGAACATCACAACCTTAAATGGTCTGAGTAGTGCACCATTCTGAGTTCAGGCAGTGAGTGCCAAAGGATAGGGTTGATGGATAAAGTGCTAAAGGCGGATGACAAGATTAGGACCTGTGGGGCTGTGTAAGGAGAGCACTATGTCTCTAAAAGGGAACAGTGAGCAGGATCTAATTATGGATCAAAATGGGAACCAGAATTATTTGGGGAACTATCTAGTCGAAGGCACAGTGGAACATCGTCTTKAGTTCTTTCCAGAAGGTGGACAAGGTGGGTGCCCATCTAATCTCCCTGGGGAGAGAATTCCAGAGCGGGGGGGGGGGGCACCACAGAGAAGGCATTTGTGACAGGGGTGGGACTGAGAGAAAGGCCTCCCCAGAAGATCTTAGGGAAAATGGAAAATTGTAGCTAAATGTACCTCGATTTACAACAAATTCATTTCAAAATTTTACAAAATTTTGGGGAACTCAAAAGCAGTTTAACATAAAAACGTTAGCCCAGAATTGAAAATATACAAATATTGAAACAGAATTAATTATAAACAATACTAAAATATTCACATTTTAAAGTTACGTCTCTCTCTCTTTCTTAGGTAAAGGTTTCCCCTTGACATTAAGTATAGTCGTGTCCGATTCTGGGGAGTGGTGATCTTCTCCATTTCTAAGCCAAAGAGCCAGCATTGTCCGTAGATGCCTCCAAGATCATGTGGCCAGCATGACTGCATGGAGCTCCATTACCGTCCCACTGGAGTAGTATCTATTGATGTACTCACACTTAGATGTTTTCAAAATACTAGGTTGGTAGAAGCTGGGGCTAACAGTAGGAGCTCACCCTGCTCTTTGGATTCGAATCACCGACCTTTTGGTCAGCAAGTTCAGCTGCTCAGCGTTTTAACCCACTGCAGCACTTGGGACATCGCTTACCTACATATCTAACTATGCAAGGGATCACATTCATTCTTATATCTATATCAGTGGTTCCCAATCTGTGGGTAGCGGTTCACTGGTGGGCCGCAAGACCTAAAATAAGGTCTGTGGCTCTAGATGATTAAATATGGTTTTCTGTGGGCGAGCAGATGGCGACTACTGGATGGCACATGTTCTGTATCAGAAACTAGAACTGATGTGGTCTATCCGATGCAGTTTTCTGAATCAGCCCCCCGCCCCCCACCCAAATAACCAAACCAAATCTAAAGCTGATGAAAAACTGATTCATAACGCTTTTGGAGAGTGGTCCCTGCTCAAAGTGATTCCTACTCAAGTGATCCCTGGTGAAAGTGGTCTTTGGTCAAAGTGATTTCAGGTAAAAGTGGTCCTTGGTCAAAATGATCCCTGGTGAAAGTGCTCTTTGGTCAAAGTGATTTCAGGTAAAAGTGGTCCTTGGTCAAAGTGATCCCTGGTGAAAGTGGTATTTGGTCAAAGTGATCCCAGGTGAAAGTGGTCCTTGGTCAAAATGATCCCTGGTGAAAGTGGTATTTGGTCAAAGTGATCCCAGGTGAAAGTGGTCCTTGGTCAAAGTGATACCTGGTGAAAGTGGTCTTTGGTCAAAGTGATTTCAGGTAAAAGTGGTCCTTGGTCAAAATGATCCCTGGTGAAAGTGCTCTTTGGTCAAAATGATTTCAGGTAAAAGTGGTCCTTGGTCAAAGTGATCCCAGGTGAAAGTGGTCCTTGGTCAAAGTGATCCCAGGTGAAAGTGGTCTTTGGTCAAAGTGATCCCTGGTGAAATTGATTTCAGGTAAAAATGGTCATTGGTCTAAGTGGCCCTTGTCAAAGTGGTCCTTGATCAAAGCAATTCCTAGTCAAAGTGGTCTTTGGTTAAAATGATCCCTGGTGAAAGTGGTATTTGGTCAAAGTGATCCCAGGTGAAATTGATCCCAGGTAAAAATGGTCCTTGGTCAATGTGGTCCTTGGTCAAAGTGATCCCTGGTGGAAGTGGTCCGTGGTCAAAAATAGAATGGGAACCACTGATCTATATCTGTTGCATAGGGACATTCCACCCTAAGAGCCATGAATTTGAATAATAATATAAATACAGAAAACAAACAACAAGAGAGAGAGAGAGAAAGAGAGAGAGAGAGCTAGCTCTCTTGATTCGACCTAGACCTAGGGATTAGGCGACTTCCCTTCCTCCCGCCCCTCGCCACGGGATTGGCGGGGGCCGCCTAAGCGACAGCGGCCGCGGGCCAATGGGCGCCCGCGTTGTGTCCCGTGTCACGTGCTGAGCGTGCTTGGCTCCTCCCCTTTCCCGTCTCCTCCTCCTCCTCCGGCGCCTCAGTGGCCTTTCCCTCCTCCTCCTCCTCCTCCTCCTCCTCCTCGCCGGGGATCCCTCAGCCTCTCCGCCGTGGCCCAAGGGCGCCTTCCCGCTCTCTTCCCGCCGAGGGCCGCCGCCTGAGGCCGGAGTTCAACGCCAAGGGCAGTCCATTGGGTCGGTTTCCGTCTTCCTGGCTGCCGGGAGGAGAAAGAGGCCTCCCTTTCCTCCTCTCGTGCCCCTTCGTCGGGGCGGGCGGCGCTGGATGCCAGCTGAGGCCCGGGTGAGGCGCCCCTCCTTGTTGGGTTCTCCTGGGGAAGAAGGCGGCAAGGGGTTGTTTTGAAGCGGGGAGGGGGAGGCCGGCCTTCCGGGGCTCCGCACAGGCCAGGGAAGGAACGGGAAGAGCCGGCAACCACATCCCAGCTTCTTTCCGCCATTGTAGTCATCAGCACCAGGCATGGGCCAACTTGGGCCCTCCAGGCGTTTTGGACTTCAACTCCCACCATTCCTAACAGCCGGTAGGCTGTTAGGAATGGTGGGAGTTGAAGTCCAAAACGCCTGGAGGGCCCAAGTTGGCCCATGCTTGGTCTATACCTCGGATCCGGCCCAGGGCCTTGGGTTTCGCCCATCTGGTGTGTGTTGATGCTGCCTTTCTTAAAGCCCCGCCTGGCCTGCAGAAAGAAACCAAAGTGGGTCTCCAGTGTCCCCAAATCTAAAAGCACTTCTAGATCTCACAAAAATAAAATAAAAAACCCTGCCTGGTCTGTAGTGCAGATGGAGATTCACAAGATTTTGTTCTTAATTTAATTTACATGTTTAATTTAATTGTACATTGTTGTTAAGGCATTTGTTACCTAACTATAAGCCACCTTGAACCCCCCCCCCCCCTGGTGTGGAGAAAGGTGGGACATAAATATAGTAATTAAATGAATGAATAAATAAATTGGAGCAGAAATACAGAAAATAAATACCTACTATTCCTAATTGCAAAATTCCCAGAAATTACCCACATGGGTGGCTAAGATCATGAGCTCTTTGCTTTCTCATGGCTCAGTGTATATCAGTCATGGGAAAACTTTGACCCGCCAGGCGTTTTGGACTTCAACACCCACCATTCGTAACAGCCAGTAGGCTGTTAGGAATTGTGGGAGTTGAAGTCCAAAATACCTGGAGGGCCAAGTTAGCCCATGCCTGGTGTATACAAACAAACTTTGCCTCATGCACAGAATTGTTTTACATATAACATATAACATTATCAGGTTATATATAACATCATCAGGTTATGTGTATATGTTTATTTTAATGGATTAGAAATAAAAGATGTGGCTCTTATTATTACAAATATTATTGCTATATTAATCAATCATGTGGGCAATTTTGGGTTTTGGAATTCAAGATAAGGATTGTGTGTAAGGTATGTATGGAATATAAATGAATTTCATGTTTATAAATATAAATAAAAGTTTATTGTTTTATTGTATTATTATATTTAGATATGGATATCTGAAAATGCAGGTATTCCAAAATTCAAAGCAGTCCTGGTAGCAAGTATTTAGGATAAGAGATACTCCAATCTTCAGGGAACAGCGGAAATTGTCCTTTCTTGCACAAAGATCCATTAATCACAAACATATATGCATATATATACACACACCCCAGGTGGATAGCGCTGCTGTGTTATGACTACAGTCTTGTTTGTGTCCTTATTTACAGCTGTAAAATTCAGCTGAAGCTGCTGCAGCTGCAATAGCTGGAAAAAGATGGGTGTAAATGTGTTTCTGGCCTGTATCACTCCAGGTTTGAGGTGGGAGGGTCGGTTGGATTTGGTAGCTCAAGGAAATGGCCTTCTTAACTGAATGGATCTTCATGTGATTTTCCCCAAGTTTCCTATATCCTGAAATGTAGTGTTTACTTTTATTTATTTCTTCTTAAGGTACATATTCAGTCTTGTGAATCTCCATCTGAATTCCTGGAAGGACACAGGCCAGGTATATTGTTCCATCTCTTCGCTGTGTATGAGGGGTGTTCATGAGATCTAGAAGTGGTGTGTATAAATGCACACCAGCTGGGCTTTACCTAAAGCTACATGGTGGCCCTACTACTGACTCTGTGTCCTGCCCAGAAGACATTTTGAGTGTGTGTGTGGTGTGGTCTTAAAAGGATACAGGCCAGGCATGGGTTTATTTACCATTCATGAGAACCAGGAAAGGTGTCTGACTCACTTATGGACTCACACTCATACAGCTAGAATGGGGAATAGGGACATTTTTGTTTTGTCTGGTAGTGTTTTTTGAAAGTACCATGACTGGCTGGCACTCTGATCCATTTTCCTAGCCACAGGTGATATCTACTTTGTGTGCCTCATGTCTAGACATGCAATCTTTTGTACCCGCATTCAGAGAGAGTGAAATGCAGATGTTGACAAACTGCTCCTCTTCCCTTTGCATGTTTTCTCTTTCTGAGGAAGTCAGTGCAGGTAGGTCACTCTGCTATTTTCCCTTAGCTGGAAAAACAGGTAACAACTGTTCCCCTGATCATTCTGACACATGACATTAGGTCACCTGGAGGTGGCAGCTTTTGAGAAAGCAACTGGGAAACTTGATTTTGATGGAGAACATAAACGTGACTGAAGTTTGAAATGACAGGCTTTCTGTTTGGACTTGTTGTAGTTTATAAGAAGTCTCAAAGACAATATTTGGCAGTTTCTGTAGCAGGAGCGGAACCCACTTTGTTATTGACATCCTTTCTCATTGTTTAGTGCCTGCTTTTTGCCAGCTGCCTATTGTCTTATGTCTGTACTTGTTGAGTATTCTTCAGGGATTTTATGAGGTCTTATCAACATGTTGACACAGCACACAAGTTCCGTTTGTCATCATTACTCGCTTTAAAAAAGAGTTGCAGATAGATCTTGTTAGTGATTTAAAAGGAACAATTTGTTACTGTCCACTGCATTGCATAAAGGTAGATGATAACTCTGTTCTGGAACAATGAGCTAAAATGGATGTTTATTGAAAATTATATCTTCCTTAGCATTTCTTTGGTTCTGAACAGTGCTGCTTCTAGGTACTGGAGGTTTCCTGAATGAAGGTGGATTTACGTTGTATTATTCATGCAGTTTGACACTACTTTTAACTGACATGGCTCAATGTTGTGGAATCATGCAAGTTAAAATTTTACAAAGGTTTAGTCTTCTTTGCCAAATGCCTCTGAAGTCTCACCAACCTACAACTCCCATGATGCCATAGCATTGAGCCATGGTAATTAAAGTAGTGTTAAAATGCATTAATTTTATAGTGTAGCTCCCCCCAAAGACTTAGGGCCACATCTTCCTTGTTGCTGTCACTGCTGTTTTTTCACTTGTTCTCTTTGTTCAGGCACTGCCCACACAGAGGTAATGAACAATATTGTTCCATCTCTTCGCTGTATGTGAGGGGTATGCATGTACTTCCAAGTCCTATGTCAATTTATGTGAATGCCCTACATTTCATAGAATTTTCTTAAATCTCACCCTTCCAAGCACTCACCAGACCTGCCCTTATTTAGTTTCCAAGCAAGAAGATCTGGTGTTTTTAGAGTACTTAGGCTCTTCAGTGTTTTCAGAGTACTTAGGCTCTTCAGTCTGGTCACTGCACAAATGATCAGTGAGGAAGTAGTGCAAACAAAGAGCAATAGAGCCAGGAACTTCTAGAGCTGGCTGGGGGTTTGTTTTTTTTTTGGTCGTGTCAGGAGCGACTTGAGAAACTGCAAGTCGCTTCTGGTGTGAGAGAATTGGCCATCTGCAAGGACGTTGCCCAGGGATGCCTGGATGATTTGATGTTTTTATCATCCTTGTGGGAGGAGCTGGAGCTGATAGAGGGAGCTCATCTGCCTCTTCCCGGATTTGAACCTGCAACCTGTCGGTCTTCAGTCTTGCCGGCACAGGGGTTTAGCCCATTGCGCCACCGGGGGCTCCACAGCTGGCTGTGAAATGTGGACATTTTTAGATGTCCAGTAATGTTTACCCCCCACGTCAGCTTTGGATTTGATACTAGATTTAGAAAGATCAAATAACGCTTATACTTCTTTGTTGTTTTTTCCTGTTGTACAATCCCAGTCTTCTGGGATATATAATTGTATTCAGTGTTACATTTCCCCTTAATAACTGAATGGGCTCTTTTGCATCCCTTTGTATGCACTTACCTCCTTACAGGTCCAGTTGTTAAAAGGGTGATCAAAATTCTATGTGCTATAAATTTGATCTTATGCTCAATTTTTTAAAAAAAATATATATTTCAGCTTTATAATATCATGCAATAAAAGAATGTTGGAGGGATTTTTGCTTCAAAGAATTTCCATTGTCATCTTCACCAGATGGATTTTCCTGTTTAAATAGTGTGTGTGTGAGAGACACACACAAACATGAATGCAGATTAAAAGACAGTAGATGGGTCTGTGTCAAATCTGAAACAAATTTAATAGGCTTTAAAAAAAATGTTACTCTGTTTTCCTTTGTTTTAGTATTTGAAGAGATATGGCATCAACTAATGGATTCTAATTATTTTTAACAGGCCTTAAGAAGAATATTTTCCTTGGATTAAGAAAGAGCAGTTGCTGCAGTTAGAAAACTCCTGTTGGGCCTGAGAATCTAAAATTTAGTTCAAAAATTGCTTGAAGACTTGTCAAATGACATCAATGGCCAGCCTGTTCTCTTTTACTAGCCCAGCTGTAAAGCGTTTGTTGGGCTGGAAACAAGGTGATGAAGAGGAAAAATGGGCAGAAAAAGCAGTGGATGCCTTGGTGAAAAAACTCAAAAAGAAAAAAGGAGCTATGGAGGAGCTGGAGAAAGCGCTGAGCAGCCCTGGACAACCTAGTAAATGTGTTACAATTCCCCGTTCATTAGATGGACGACTTCAAGTTTCTCACCGCAAAGGCCTCCCCCATGTTATTTACTGTCGTGTATGGCGTTGGCCTGATCTACAGAGTCACCATGAGCTAAAACCATTGGACATTTGTGAATTTCCTTTTGGATCCAAGCAGAAGGAAGTCTGCATCAATCCATATCATTACAAAAGGGTGGAGAGTCCAGGTGTGTTTGAATGTTATGATGTTGTTTTCACTTACTTTCATGTACTGAATAATAATATTTAATGACTGAGAAGGTGACCTGGTACAAATGTGTTAAAGGGGTTGTTGGATCTTAACAGTATACAGGTCCCGTCCCCCCCGTCCCCCCAAGTTATCTTAGCTGTTGGGTCTAAAGCTGGCATGGGCAAACTTCGGCCCAAAAACACCTGGAGGGCTGAAGTTTCCCCACGTCTAGTCTAAAGGAACATATTTGTTTTGGGTTGCCTGCATCTCTTAAATCTAATACAGTTTGAAACAGAATTTTTGATCTTGTTACTAACTTGATAACTGGCTGTTCTTCTAAACCTGCTTTGCATCCATGAATATATAAAAGCCTTATGCATGATTCATGTGCAGCACACACACACATACATTCATAGGATGTGAATGTTTCTATTTTACCCTTTCCCCTGTTTCATATGCTCAGTGTGATATTTCTCTCTCCTCAACCTCTTCGTTCCTTAATTCAGTTGATTTTGCTGATACAGTACAGTTTTGGTGCACTGTGTTCTCTAGCATTCTGTGCAATTTGTTTTAGTTCAGCCTCAGTTATTCAGGGGTGGGTCATTCATCCACTACACAATTTATCAGTTGGACACATGTCTTTACTCTACTAGGCTGCTACGGTGCACAGAACCAGAATTTTCCCAACTGGGAAATGCAGTGCAGTGCTTTGCCAGGTATGATGCTTATGGCTTGTGCGTCTTCCTCTGTCTTTCTCATTTAAAAGGCTGGTAACCAGTGGGATGGGGAATTGAAATCTTCTGATGTATTTAGTTCTTCTTTTCTTTTGCTCTTTTTTTCAGTTTTACCTCCAGTCTTGGTGCCTAGGCATAGTGAATTCAACCCACAGCATAGCCTCTTGGTTCAGTTCAGAAACCTAAGCCACAATGAACCGCATATGCCTCACAATGCTACATTTCCAGAATCGTTCCAGCAACCCAACAGCACTCCATTTCCCATTTCTCCAAATAGTCCATATCCACCATCTCCAGACGGCAGTACCTACCCAAATTCCCCAGCTAGCTCTGGACCATCGAGTCCATTTCAGCTACCAGGTAAAGACTTTGTGTGACAATTATTGAAAAGTAAAATTTGTATTACGAAGCCAAATTTATTTATTACATATTTATTTATTACAGAGTTTGTCTTGCTTGTTACAAATAAAATACTTAACTGCTTGGAGATGAATCTAGTGATAGAAGTTTGAAAGTGGCAAATATATTTTTATGTATTTGAGGTGACAGTTTGGCTATTGTGTATGTGCACTCTTCTGGATAGGTGGTGGGATTGAAGACATAGATGAAGAATTTGGATAAAGTGTAAGCCATATAATTATTTGCAGCAATATGTGTTATATTGAAAAAAGAATAAGAAGAAACTAAAAGCTAGAAAGAAAAAGTAAGGAAAGTAAAAAAGAACAAATATGATTGTTGCTGTTCTTGCTACTACTAGAGTTTAGTTGCAGAACGTCATGGAGACTAGGTGATTATGTGTGCTTGTCTACTTAGGCTGACCCCATATATTTCAAAGTGTTTTGTTAGGCAAAGGATATTGAAAGGTGGATTTACCAGTTCCTTCCCCTGAAATACATCTTTCAGCACTTGATATTCATTGGTAGTTTTCAATCCAAATACTAATCAGAGCTAACCCTGCTTATCCTCCAAGATCAGATGGGATATGGTGCTTTTACCAAAGGCTTAATAAAAATGTAGTAGACAGGGAAATAAATAGGGTGCCATCCTGCAAGGGAGGAGGACCTCTTGTGTTACTTAAAAGTTGTGGAAACAGATGTGTGAATGTGATGGATTTGCATATGTATAAGAGGAGAGATAAAATGATGAGTAAGAGTGTTTGAAGATAAGGAAGCTTCGAAAAAAATAGTAAATGAATAGGAGGCCAGTATGTGAATATAAGGGAGGGCATTACATGGTCATTCAACATCTAAAGTTACTTATCAAGGCAGTAAAGCTATGGAAAATGTTGAGGGAACCAAAGTGAAATAGTAGATCAAAAAGGATGGCATGGCAGTAGTCTAAGCAAGACTAGGAAAGTGACATTTTTTTCATGGGCAAATGAACATGATTTGGATTTGGGTTTGGATTATTTTTAGATTTTAGAATACCTGTATGTGTATATATATACATAATGGAGAAGGAATCCAAGCTTGAGTCAATTGAACTATCAGAAAACAAAAGTGTCATATCTCAGCTGCTTTTTCGGACAAATTTGGATTCTGGAATATATCAGAATTCTGGATAAGAGATGTTTAACCCGTACAGGCATTCCAGAATCTAAATTCCATAACACTTCTGATCCCAAACATGTAAGATAAAGGATTCTCAGCTTGTATATAGAGGCAGAGCTGGGTGCTATCAACATAAAGGAGTACTGGAATTCTTGAGATATGATGAGGTTAGACTGAAAGCGTGTAGATAGAAGGTGGCAGACTGCTTCCTCAGTGAGGATAGAGAAAGAGAGTTCTCATATAAAAACATTAAAATATGAATTAGAAAGATGTAACAGGGAATAAAACAGAATTAAAATGTCGATGACAGCAAAGTGGAGAACTTGGGATTTGATGGTAACATCACTGAGGATAGTTACAATGGTATACTGAGGGTAGGAACCAAATTGAAGTTAGGAGCAGATTGGAGGAGACTGTTGAATAAAAGCATGTTAGAAGGGTCTGGAGATGAAAGAAGGCGATTTGAGGAATGGGTGATGAATCAGAAGAGGTCTGGAAGCATGTGGACTTTGTTTTAGAAAAATAACATGGAAGGAGCATCTGTGATAGGAACAAAATGAGGGAGCTGTTGTGAGAGAAAAAACGGCACATTTAGTTTTCCCTCTGTTAAAAATCATGTGTCAAATTAAAATTTAAAAAACCCAAGTGATCATATCAAATTCTATAGTGTAACATACCTGTATAGTTTCAGCATTTCTCCAGTTTATTTCATTTAACATCTCTCATTAATAAGGCTTTACATAAGTAATGGCAAGAGCAACTTACCCTGGATGCAAGAATGTTATTAAAGGACAGTAGTTAATGCATGACAGTACTTCCTGTTTTGTGCTCCTCCTTTAAGTCTTAGATTGATAGGAGATTGATATGATAGATACGGAGAGGGTAAAGAAATGGACAATGGTGGTGATCACAGAGATGGCAGCTCTTAATTCCCAGTGTTGCTGATTCATTTTGCTTTCCCTGCAAGCACAAGGAGTTGACAACTCACTTTTTGCCCAACAAAGGCAGAAAAAGTCATTTCCAGTAGGGAGACCAAAAGGTTTGGAAAATGGAGCATAAAAGTGTTCTCTCTGCAACAGTGTTAATTTTTTTTAAAAAAAAAATTCAAAAGTGGCAAGAGCGAGTGAGGCTCATGCTGTCTCATTCTGCTGTACCATGGATGGAGGAGAAATAGTGTGAGGGAAGGAAGAAAGCCTCTGCCTGACAGGAGAAGGAAGGCTGCTAGAAAGGGAATGCTTCTGAGGAAATGAGTGGGATTCACTTTTTTTTTTTTACAAAAGGGAAAAATAAAGAAGTTTAGGGCGTGGTTTCCCAAGTTCCTGTGGAGTGGAGATTCAGTCCTGAGTCACTGTCAATTGCCCACCCTTGCACTAAAGCAATGGAAAATTGCAGAATATGCAAGGAGGCCTTCTGAAGGTGCTTCAATTGATTGTGTAAATGGATGAGAAGTAAAAACAGAAGGGAGGATGGAAAGAAAAAGCTTAGACAGACTGGTATTGGAATAGAAATTAATATGAGGTTTTTAGAGGGATTCCATTGTGTGTCATAGGGTTGGGGAGAGGTAGAGAGTGGTGATGGTAATGTTGATCTTAATGCCAAAATTAGAATTAGCAGAGCATTGATAATTTAAAATATGTTCATTTTGGGTTGGATCACATTGTGTCAATGAATTACTTCCAAGTATTTGAACATTCAGACCTAAACCTAGTATAATACTAGCAGTAAAAACATTTTACCCTTTTAGCCCTCTGCACTGTCTCTTAATTACCTCACACTAGAGAATGAATCCATTTTAAATCCAGTTTCTGCCTTCTGCAGAATTCTGGGGTTTGTAGTTTAGTGAGGATGTTAAAGGCTCCTCTCTAAACTACAAACCTCAGAATTCCGCAGGAGGCAGCAACCAGATTTAAAGTGGATTCATCCTCTAGTGTGATGAGGTCCTTAAATTTGTTTCAGAACATCTTCCAGTCATACAGTATATATTTCAAAAGTGTGGGATGTATGTGAGTGACATTCTTGCTTGGTTGTGTATACAGTGAACAGCGACAGGGAAGATACGTAGCATTTGGATTTAAGAGTGTTACATGCAGACAAATTGTGACATAATGTATGAAAGAATCCTGTGCCATAAAGACTAACTCTCATTCTCAAAGGTGCTATAAAATTCCTTTTAATGTTTTCAATCTGCTTTGGAGTACAGGGAGTCCCCAAATTACAGACAAAATGTATTCTGTAGGTTTGCTCTTAAGTTGAATTTGTATGTCAGTTGGAACAGGTACATTTTTAAATGTGAAAAGTAAAGCTTTCCCCTTGACATTAAGTCTACTTGTGTCCAACTCGGGAGGGGGGGGGGTTGTGCCCATCTCCAATTCTAAGCTGAAGAGCCGCCGTTGTCCGTAGACGCCTCCAAGGTCATATGGCCAACATGACTGCATGGAGCATCATTACCTTCCGGCCAGAGTGGTACCTATTGATCTACTCACATTTGCATGATTTCAAACTGCTAGGTTGGTAGAAGCTGGGGCAGACAGCGGGAGCTCACCTCGCCCCCTGGATTTGAACCACCAACCTTTTGGTCAGCAAGTTCAGCAGCTCCAGCGCTTTAACCCTCTGTGCCACCTGGGGTTCCTTTTTAAGTGTGAATCCAGTCAAGTGTGTGTGTGTGTGTGTGAGAGAGAGAGAGAGAGAGAGAGAGAAAATTGGCTTGTTGTTGAAACAAGGACTTGTAATAAAGCTTCAGTGGAGAATCTTTTCTCCAAGATAACTCTTTCAGGAGTGAATTTTCCTTACTAGGGGTAGATTTCTCTCACTTCCTGTTGTCTCATCTGTACTTAACTATGAGTAATTTGTAAGTCAGATGTTTGTAACTCAAGGACTGCCTGTTTATTTATAGAGGAATAGTCAAAATGTTACAACAGGAAAATGGATTAAGGTAGAGAATACAAATGGGTTGTTGTAGGTTTTTCCGGGCTATATGGCCATGTTCATTGCCTCCAGAACATGCCTCCAGAACATGGCCATATAGCCCGGAAAAACCTACAACAACCCAGTGATTCCGGCCATGAAAGCCTTCGACAATACAGAGAATACAAATGTCACCAAAATGAGAAGAAACCATTAATTTTGGAAGCAATGAAGAGGAATTCTGATTGTGTAGCATAAAATATATTTTCTTCACTCCAGAATTCCTAACTTTTCTTTATAGCAGATACACCACCTCCTGCTTATATGCCTCCTGAAGATCAAATGGGGCAAGATACATCACAATCTATGGACACAAGCAATAATATGATCCCTCAGATAATGCCAAACATTTCTAACAGAGGTAAGGCAAATAATGTATTTATTAGTTTTAGTAGTATTTTGCCATTGTTGATATTTTGCCAATGCCAGTAGCTGCTTGGAAATATAGCCTGACACCAAACTTATTTTTTTACGATTACCTTTCTTCCTTTAGATCCTCCAGAAGTTGTTTAATTTTAATTCCCAGCATTTTGAGGCTTTTGCTATGTTGAGTGGGGCTGCTTGGACATTCAGTCCAATAACATCTGGAGGACTCTGTGATGTGTATTCCTGCCATAGAAACTAAGCAATGAATGGGCAACATGTAACACCATCATTGGAAATAATTTCACTTCAGAGAAAGCTTGTGCCCTGCATATGTATCAATCTGGCTGCTCAGGATGTTCAGAAATACAACAGAACTTCAACTATTGACCTTTTTACTGTAGTTTATGATTATGAAATACATGCCCAAATGAAATGTTCATATCTCAGGTCAGCTGTCCAGTGGAAGGTGGACAAAGTCTGTCTTTGTAGTTCACTCCTTGTTTGTAATATAAAGGCAATAGTACTCATTTGGGGGTGATTGCTGGGAAAATGCTTGAAGTTTTGTAAACCATTAGGAAAGAATCATTAATGCTAAGTACTATTTTGCATGAGAAAAGGTGTAAATTAAGCCTTTGCACTTTTAATTGTGTTGGACTATGGATTCCATAATTCTGCATCTAGTTCAGGAAATGGAGGAAGAGCCTAGCAAATCTGGGGGTTACCGTGTTGGGGGATCCTGTAATAGATGATAACTGCTGAAAATGACCATGTTCATTGTTTTTGTTCATAGATGTTCACCCTGTGGCCTATGAAGAACCCAAGCACTGGTGCTCAATTGTGTATTATGAATTAAACAACCGAGTTGGGGAGGCTTTTCATGCATCTTCCACTAGTATCTTAGTAGATGGATTTACAGATCCTTCTAACAACAAAAACCGATTCTGCTTAGGTTTGCTCTCCAATGTTAATCGCAACTCAACTATTGAGAACACCCGGAGACACATTGGAAAAGGTAACGTGGAAGTGTCATTTGTTTGATCATAAGCAACTTGCTTTACTGAGCTAGAATTTCAGTAAATGAAGTCATGTAATTAAAGGCAAGAAATTGAAACAGTGTAAACTTGCACCAGCCAGTCAAAAAATGCCATGCCAACTTTAATAAAACATTTAACTGGTTTATGTAGTGAAACACTGTATCATGGAATTTCCTATTCTTATTCCAACTTTACCCTTTAGGATTTATTTCACAGCCTGTAAGGTTTACAAATACTGCAACCACTTTTGAAACATTTGTTCATAGTGTACACATTTGAGGGTTTTGTGTAGAAATGGTTCCCTGGTGCTAGTATAACAAGCCATTTTAAATAAACAAATCTGAGTTAATGGGAGGAAGAGAAAGTCTAAGTCTTGAGTTGGATTTATAAAGATGGCAGGTTAGAGAAGGCAAGGAAAGGTACCTTGAATTCATATTATATTTGAAACCTTTTAAAAAGAACAAAAAAATGCAGTATCATCTCATAGAATTTGAAATACAATTTCTTATGTATCACATAAAATAGCTGCTTTTTCATAACAATCATGATATTACTAATAGGTTTCCTACCAACAGGACATGAGAATATCTTTTTCAGGGGTGGGAATTAGACCATTCTCCCAATTGTCCTGGACTGCAGTTCCTAGTAAACTGAGCCAGCATACCAGTGGTTCATGACCTTTGGTCTTCTAGGTGTTTGAGATTTCAACTTTTCGATGCCTCAGCCTGTTTGGCCAGCTGTAAAGAATTCTGGGAGCTGGAGTTCAAAACACACGTAGGACCAAAGGTTGGGAATCACCTGTTGTGGCCCATTGTGATGGATTTTAGGAGTGCAGCTCAGCTACTTCAGTAGAGCTGGACAATCCCCAATCCCAAGCTATGTATTGAAGAACCTTGTTCTGTAATTGATGGAAGGGGGACCTCTAGTGGCTAGTAAGATACTGGGTTTGTGAAATGAAACTGGAGTCTTCTTGAAACCAATCTGACTTAAAAGTGAGGAGCTATAATTGCTTCTATTAAATGTTTGGTGCTTCTCTCCCCTTCCTCAGGTGTCCATTTGTACTATGTTGGTGGAGAGGTCTATGCCGAATGCCTGAGTGACAGCAGCATATTTGTACAGAGCCGGAATTGTAATTACCATCATGGATTTCATCCCACGACTGTATGCAAGATTCCTAGTGGCTGCAGCCTCAAGATTTTTAATAATCAGGAATTTGCCCAGCTTCTAGCTCAGTCCGTCAATCATGGGTTTGAGGCGGTATATGAGCTCACCAAAATGTGCACAATTCGGATGAGTTTTGTAAAGGTAAGGTGTGGTTTATTTATAATAAAATTTATGTAACTCTTTTAAAAGGAGTAGCCATATAAGCTTGCTATAAAATAAAATATTGATGAGCCATATAGCAACTGAATCAGATGATATGGGCTATAGTTTGCAGTAGTATCATCCTATAATAAATTTGTTGCTTTTTAACATAAATTGACTACAAATCTACATGACTTATTTCAGATCTAACTCTCATTCAATATGTGTTTATTTTATAGGGTTGGGGAGCAGAATATCACCGACAAGATGTTACAAGTACCCCATGCTGGATAGAAATACATCTTCATGGACCTTTGCAGTGGCTGGATAAAGTACTTACTCAAATGGGTTCTCCACTAAATCCCATCTCTTCTGTTTCATAGTGCGGAAGTATTTCTTCAACAACCATAACTTTAGTGACCATTTTTTAAAAATTCTACAGAAACTTCCAGTGTGGATACTGTAAGAATGGGCCACATGTTAGCTGTCTTGTCCTAATGATGACCAATTTTGTTTTTTTATTACCATTTTACTTTTTGTTTTGATAATTAAAAGAAACAGTCACGTTTGGAGGAAACTTGTTTTGCCTTTCTAGACATATTTAAAAAATTGGCTCCACTGGAAACATTTACTATGTCTTCTTGGAACACTCTGCTGAACTGAAAATAGAAAACGCTATCTTTTTGCTGATTACATGTATTTCCCACTTGCAGACTGTTTTAATGCTCATGTAAAATTACATTGATGACGAAGTCCATGAAACTAGCTTTATTACACCCAAGGTTGCCTTTAGCATTTATGATAATGTGATTCTGATATATGTGTGTTGAAAAACACTTGATACTGGTAGTGCTATTAGAATGCATCCTTGCAAGTTCTGCCATAAACAAGGGCAATTTGACCTTCACCCCAGGTCAGTGTGATTAAGTTGAAGGACCTCTGTGAGACTTCCAGATAAATGTGCGGATTGCTTCTTGAATCATTGTTCTGAACAGGCATTTAATTCAAGGAAGTATCTTATTTAGCCTAGTCAGTATTTTTTCTTGACTCGGACTCGGTGTGTATGAGACACTTTTGAAATATAGCCTTTTAAGCAATTCACTTGTATCAGAGTGCAGAATGCTACCGTTTTGCTAGTTATGCTGCAAGGATTATTTTTTGCATTTACATAGTTAGTATCTTGAAGGGTTGCTAACTTCACACTACTGCTGTTTTGCAGTATTAGTTTTGCTCCTTTTGTAATTCACTTTTATAACTACAGTATTAGAAATCTTGCTTCAGAAAGTGGTATAGGATGTTTACTTCTCAAGATTGCTGTGCAGACCAGGCCTTTCATGAAAACTAAAAAAATAGTCGCCTCTTGACTCTGGAATCTTTTGAGTGTCATTGATCTTAATCTCACAGGCTCTGTGACCATAATATGACACTAGAGTTCTCAGTCTGTACATCATTCACTGTTACTAATTCCACTTAATAAGTTAACAGAAATAGAGATGGTCGCAGTGAATTCGTATATGTTGAAATAATTAGAATCCTTTCAAGAATGTTTGTTCATTGGATAAGTTAGGAAGATGCATGCCTGCGTCACAGCCAACTCTTATATGACTATTTCCGATGGAACTCCAGATTCTCTAGATGTGTTGTGTGTCTGACAATCTCTCTTCTCAAACAGCAACATATTTAAATCATAGCCTTACGCTAAGCTACGAAGGGCTTTCTTCAAAAATACCTGTGTGTTGTTGTTGCATCTTTTAATTGGTTCTTTTCAGGAACTAGAAGCAATACTTAGTGCCATGTGGAATAAATTCATTTTTTTTTTGTAAGGAAGAAGGTCCAAGGTACTTTTGGTGATATTTTTTTCCTTTCACAATAGTAATTAAGCATATGCTTCTAATTACTTAGGATGACCTAACTGTAGTTCTGTATGGATTCCAGCCAAACACATAAAAATAACAGAACTTAATACAGAACATTAGATTTTCTTTAAAGGAACAGAGAGGAGGAAGCATATCTGCTCCTTAGAGTTCAGCAATCAGTTTAGTAGGTATAAGGCCTTGTGGCATTTCTAGTGACTGAGATGAAACCTTTTGTGCTTTATGTTTTTCCTTGACCTCCCAGTGATAGGCAAAATAAATCGTACAGATCTGAAATGTGGCTTATCTTGGCATAGGTTATGTTTGATCACTCCGTTCCAATCGAGAATTATGTGTTCTTAACGATGTTTGATGCCTTCCTTCTCCTCTAGCAGATAGAGGGTTATTTTAAAGTATTTCTGATACAATACTTCTGTCAAAGAAATCTAGGGTATGAGGATAGAAGCTGATTGACGCTCATCCTTTCAAATGGGACATTTTAGAGTCTTGGAGAATTCACACAGAGCAAGACATACAACATAGGCATTTTATACTGAATAGCTTTGAATAGTGTCTTCAAGCATCTGTCAACCATTTCTTTTTTCAGGCAAGTTGTAGGTGGGGTTGTTGTTTTTTCCGCACAATTTAATATAATGGGACAAAAAAGGTCCCTTTCCATTTTGTGATTGAAACATGATGCCAAGAAATTGATGTTAACACTCAGATAAGAAACTGCTACCCTTTCTGCTGAAAGGGGGCAAGGCAACAAATGTACACCAATGTGATTCACTCTGGGAAAAACTAAGTGAAGGTACTGAGGTTATGAAAAGAAAAAATGGGAGGACTTTGTGACATCCACAGACTGTTCACCACATTTAGAAACGACCAAGGTCAGAGGAGGATGCCAAAAGAAATAACAACAATGCAATATTAGCAACTTTTGAGCTGCTCTTCCAAGAAAGTATTTTTTTACCACATGGTCAGTGAAAAAAATAGGGATGGGCTGTGTTCAGGGCATAGAATGAATGAAGGAAAGCTATCAGAATCAAACTGCTGTGGAAGTCCCTTTACGTCATTGAGCTGAAAGTATAGATTTGAGGAACGGGCATTTCATTGAATGTCTTACACACTAAAAAGATAAATTGAACAGCTAGTTAAATTGATAGGTAAATGCCTGTCTCAGAGGTATATGCCAAGTAAATTAAGAAAATGTGGAATAAGAGTGTGACAGTGCTACAACACTAAACAGCATGTCCTCAGAAAGCAGACATTTGACTGGTCAGGTTGCGTGGTACATCAGGTATTACCCAGGTTGGTTATACTGCTTGTACTTTATATTCATACTGGTTTAATTATAGGAGGCATTTTTTCACTAGTTTACAGGTAACAAGATCTGCTGGCAAAAACTAGCATATTTGGCACCACTTGACAGAATAAGCTATATCCCCAACCACGTGTGCACACTCACTCCTTCCGCAATAGAGCACCAGACCAGAAAACAAGGAGATTGTAATGCATGTTTAACTTGTCTGGGTTACTGCAGTAGCCACATCATATCTAGTTTTCTGTAGCGTGGAATTCATGTATGATGAGGTGGGGAGGAGCCCAGGAAGCTACTATAACTCCAGAGACTGATATTCGGAAGCACAGTTCTTACTCTGGAGGTAGTGTTCATCTTAACATGACTCAGTGGACTTCACAGATATTTCTAATCTCCTTTCACAAACCAAGCTGCTCGGCATTGCCTTGTTTTGTAGTAATTAACTTCATGGCTTATCTATATGCTTTGTGCAGAAGTGCTCCATTTTATGTGTCATGAATTTCTTATCACTCGGCTTCATTGGATGAGTCTGAGTTTTGGCATTTTGTGAGAGTAAGGAGACGAAAAAGATTGTTCAAGGACAAGAAATACAATTGTTTACATATGAAGATAAATGTTTTGCAGTTGCCTTAAAGCAGTGGTTCTCGACCTGTGGGTCTCCATGTGTTTTGGCCTACAGTTCCCAGAAATCCCAGCCAGTTTACCAGTTGTTGGGATTTCTGGGAGTTGAAGGTCAAAACATCTGGGGACTTACAGGTTGAGAACTACCTTAAAGTGAAATTAAACTGATTTTCACCATATTCCAGAGCTTTAAAAGAGTTATGTTTTTTTATTTCAAAAATTTTCATCAGATTTTTAAAACTTTTTCTTTTGTCATCATAAATTTCAGGCAGCTGTTTGATTCTTAGAGCTTGATCCTCTTCTTGCCTTTACTGAGCACAGTACTAGTTAAGGGCAAGGATCCACTGGGAAGTTCTGCAGAAGGTCCACTGAGATGATGATAATGATGACAATAATAATAATAATTAGTAGTAGTAGTAGTACCCCACCACCATCTCTCCGAAGGGATTCAGTGCAACTCACAGAAGCACTTCAAGTGCTGCCCATAAAACAACAACATAAGTCTATAAAACAATTATCACACATAAAGCCTTATCTAATAAAATTCATAAAATGCAATAAAATCTGCGAATAAGACTGGCTGTCTACAATTGACAATCTAAAATATCAGGTTGAAGAGATGAATGGGAACTTCACATTGGATCATTTTCCTCACCTTTTCTAATCTCTCCTTGTGATTATAATGGTTGCAGATAATCTTTTCTTGCACTAGTCAATTTGACATGCGAAGTAGTAGTAGGCATCGACATGTTTTCTTGGATTACAAAACAGAAATCAAACCTTCATTTATTGCTCCTCTATAAAGAAGAAATCAGATTTGTGGAACTAATTCTCTTTTAGATTTCACCTATTTAAGCTATCAAATGACTTAATATATGTTTAAATACCAGTGGTTGGTGTACTTGCTGATATATGCTGTTTTGAGTAAATTATTCTGGGCATTTTACATACAGTTTCAATAATATTGCTACAGATCTGCAGTCAAATGTATGTAGTCCTCCTGATGAGAGCATGGTTAGTGCATTTATTGGATTTCTGTTTTGAGATGGGAAGAATATACTTTTAATGTGTATGCAACACAGTGCCTTTTACTTAGATTCCTCTCTCCATAATTTGTTACCATAATTTTGATTTGCCACTTTCTTTGCTCTGCTGTAGCAGTGGCTGTTTAAGAATATTTGCACCAGTTATTTATGAATGTTTATAATTCATTGCTCATGGTTCACATGAATAGGTTTTCTTTTTACCACAAGTGAAATCACTATCTGTCATGCTTGGAAGTGAGTAAGGAGAATTGCTGTCAAATTACTTTAGTCCAAATTATAATCCCATTTAAACTGGCCTCTTGTTATCTCTTTTAAGGGAAGTTAGGGATCAGGATACTAGCCAGTAATATTCGTTCAAAATGAATATGTGCTGAAAGGTCTTACAGTAATTGTCCATAAGGTTTTTGGTGGGCATTAGGGTAGTTGGCACCCTATTTTCCTGTCTGTGCCCCAACTTAATTTAAATCCTACTCAGACTTTTATCTCTATGGATTAAATCAGTATGTGGGGAAAGGGCAGGTTACTTGCCCTGCCCTCCTTTAAGTCTAAATAGGAGAAAACTATGTAATGTGGCAAGCGGAACAGATCTGAATTGATAGAACCAATAACAGATGAGAAGAATGCAGTCGCTTTCTTCACTTTTACGGCTTAACACACAGTAAATAATGCTTGAATCCTGCTTGTTTTTACAGCTGAAATCACTCTAATTGTATGTGATTGTTATTGAATTTGACAACAGCCGGGTTGCTAAAGGACCAAAGTGTATTATAGAATGTATTTGAACTTTTCTCAGCCCCCTTACCATTCATTGTTTTCATTTTCATGACTTGGGATTGGGTCTAACAAAGTTGTTCTGCTCATAACAGCTTCCAGAGGGGGACAATTGCCTGTCTACTTGCAATCTCCCCCTCCCTTGGAATCTCAAAATCTGCTCTGGAGACTTGGAAAATATTGTGAAACAGATTTTTAAGTGGCATCTCATCAGGTTTAGAGATGGGAAAAGTTCGGATGTATTAGCAAACACCTTATAATGAAGTGTTGAATTTAGGCTGATGTTTTCACAGTAAGCATGCCGGACTTATAATTTTGAACCTTCTTCACCCAAAACTTGTGTTCCCTCATAGCATCTCTTTTGCCTTACTCTGATAATCTACATCTAAAATCCTGGTTTTGTTATTGGTTTTTGTTTTCAAACCATGTATTATTTGGCAGTATTACTCATGTTAACTTGTGGATGAACCGTCTTAAACTTTATAATAGGCAGACATTTTAACTGTTTCTTCCTCAGATTGCCTTAAGAAATAAAATAGAAAGCTAAGTTTTTTGTTACTGGAATTGTTGCTAGGTAGGAGTATTTTTTAATAAAAAAATTAAAATATGTTTCATTAATGGACATGTGACTACTCGTTTAGCTTTGATATCTATCTGAGAAACTATCATTGAAATTCAGACAATGATTCATGTTATGTATGCTAACCTTGTTATTTGACGAATGATGTGTCAGTTTATATTATAGATATAACATCCGTGCTTCTGTTTACACTACAAGAAGTGTCATTCTAGCAACAGGATTTAATTTTATTCCTCAGAGTGCCTACACTGCAGTTGTTTTTGACTGTATTAAGGTGTTTATTTTTGCAATCTAAATAAATAAGTTCTTTTTAGAATTAACTTCTAGTCTGGCATGAATAGAAACCTAGAGGTTCTTCAAGGAATGATGTCCAGGTTTAAGGTAATAGTTTTTTAAAAAGTCATACGTTAGCCAAATAGAGTCTACATACATACATCTTTACCATTTGGATCCCCATTTTGTGGACCTGTCACCACTGTATCCCAAAATCACTTGGAGTATTGCTAGGTTTGTGTCCAATAGCACTGTAACTGAATTATTTTTATTAACCTTATGTATATATTAAGTTCCATTCCCAATATGCTTGGAAACCTGAATGTCAGGGGAGAGGTGGCTTCCACTTATAGCTGTAGGTGTATTAAAAGCAGTGGTGTCATTCAGTAGATTTGCACTAGTTGCCTGAACTAGTTGCTGGAATTGTTAAAAGATGTGTAGGTTAAAAGATGAGTGAAAAGTAGCAAAAGGGAAGAAGAAAAGATCAGAGTGGATGAAGTGGACAGTAAGGTGAGAGGGTCAGAAAGTGAAGGACTGAATCCTCAAGAGCCATAGGGGAATGCTGGAGGCATGGGTGCACTAAGGCTCTACTATACAGCATAGCCGCTGCCAAGTCCCTCTGGGGGTTGAGAAGGGTGGGGTCCAAATAGTCGAAATAATAATAATAATAATAATAATAATAATAATAATAATAATAATAATAAATCAGGTGAGGAAGATATAAGCCAGACAAAGGGTTGGCGGAGCACCATTGCTGGCAACTGAGATCTCGGAAGGGAGGCAGCAAACATCTCGAGGTGAAGGGAGACTGGAGGGACACATTTACACATGAAGGAATGAACTGGTTATTGTTTTGAATGACATCATTGCATAAAATTGTATTTCGATTGTTGTTTTATTGTCAGACATAGGAAGATGGGTTTGTGGCATTATGTGGTTCATGTGCCAAACTATGAATGGGGAAAAAGCATATTCAATATTTCTTTCTCAATCTGGCAGCAAAATGTCTTGGACTGGTTTGTTTTCTCTCTGTTGTGCAACAGGTTCACATCATTTGTTAATCCTAACTAAATGAAAGGGCACACTTTATTCATATTTTGATCAGAAGCATGGCTAGAACTGGTTGGGATATTTAGATGCACATACATAATCTTTAGTTCTGGATATGGATTGAAATAGGATCAAATCTTACTAAAGAATCAGTTGGAAGAGACCACATGGGCCATTTTGTCCAAGCACATTGCCATGCAGGAATACACAAAACACCCTAAACAAATGGCCATTCAGACTTCGAAACCGCAGAGAAGGAGACATCACCACACTCCAAGGCAGCATGTCCCATTGTTGAACAATTCTTAGTTTCAGGAAGGTCTTCTGCAGCTCAAATCCTAGCCTAGGCCATGTTGGCAAAGCCTCCCTAGGAACATTGACTGTTTTGCCTAGACCTACTGTAGCTGTAACCCAACAATATTTGGAGGGCTGTGTGATTTCTGACCCTGGTTACTGAATCTCTTACCATTTGCTTGTCCATTCTATCCAAACACCAGAGCTCTTGGAGTTCTCAAAATTGTTAAGTAGAGGTAGTATGAAGTGGAGCAGGGAAAAATATTTTACGGTGGATTTATTGATGCATAAAAAAATTCCTACATTACAGTGGATACTACCACCTTTGACCTAATTGTTGGCACCATCAATCAGCAAGCATTAAGTTACAGAATTTTAGATTGGCCTATTTATTTTGAGCATTTGTATCCCGTCCTTTTCACCTCCAAGGAGGGACTCAGGGCGGCTAATATCAGGCAACCATTAGATGCCACATAATAGATTTACAGGAAAATAGGGGTGTGTGACAGACAAAGGAAAGAAGGAAAAGTTGAATATTCCATTGTAATGTGCCAACAGCTTCAAATCAAAGCTTGGAGCCGAGTTGACAAAATATTTACAGAGCTTATTATTTATCTCACATAATCCACTGCCTGCATGTAAAACACTTAAAGAATGCAGACTATCAATGAGGCTTGGCTAGCAAGCTAATCAATTTTAATTGGATTCTTAAATCATTGACTCTCAAGCTTGCTTAAGAAATTTGAGCTTTCTGGAAAGGCATGGCATGCATGAGCGTGCAACACAGCATTTATCCAAATTGCTCGACCTGAGATGCTTGCGAATGAAACTAAATGGAAACATATGCCTGACTAGAATGCTGTGTTGTGGCGCTTTTATTTTCTTTCTTTTTTAAATGTTTTCTTTTATTTTTAATATATATACATCAAATATAATATACAGGAAAGTGATGATAAGAGGGTATACATAAGATCAAAAAAAAAGTAAGTACATCGAAAGTGAAGGAACAATAGATATCCAAGAGTAGGGAGAGTGAGAAAAGAAGAGTGAAAGAGAGAAAAATAAAATAATTTCCTTATGTATGTTCCAGAAACAGCAAGAAGCAACTATAATCACCAAACAGAGCACATCAGTACCATGCATTTCAGGAAAGCCACTTGTGGGGCATCTCTCTGACTTTGTCCCATCACATCAGCATGAAATGAGTGGAACCAATAACATGGAAGACACAAGCAGAAATTCTAAATATCTGATTTAACGAAGATAGTCACACTGTTCTGTGAAATGATGGTAGAGATACTTTGCATTGTCTAGCAATGTGTATTGTAGCCCCCTTTTTAAAAGGTTAACTGGTTAAGAGCTTGCCTGTTTCCTCAGGTAGTTATCACACTGAAGTTGCTTTCTTACTGTTTTAAGAAATCTAATTGTATTACGAGAAATACAGTACATTGTGATGGAAAGGCACGGTAATCTCATTTTAACCAACTAGCCCGCAAAGGCAGGGAGCTATGTTTACCTGCCTAACTGGGAGAAAATCCCTCCAGGGAATGAGAGAAACAAATCAAGAAAAGGGGACATCAGCAACCTCTAAGAATATTAGTTTAGGTCTGAAGGATTGTCAGCAGAGCAGGTAAAATATTGTCCAGTGACCTGAGGAAATCTAACCCGCTGCTCCAACATCTGCAAACACATTTACTGAGAGTAAATTGAGTTGCACCCCTGTCAACTCCAAAGAAATATTTTAAATTTAAGCCTTAAGTCTAATCTAATATAAGGCTATAAACCTAGAAACATAAATAGTAATTCAATCTCACAAAAATGAATGAGTTAACTGGTTAGTAAAACTGGTCTCGTTTCTATCCCATCTTTTTTAATGAGCATATGTCTCTTTTTCCCCTTACTTTGTCCTTGCAAGAATCCTACAAAGCTGAGAGTCGGAGGGGACACAAAGCTGGATCATCTAGATCAGGGGTCCTCAAACTATGGCCCGGGAGCTGAATACGGCCCTCCAAGGACATTTACCCGGCCCTCGCTCAGGGTCAAATTAAGTCTGAAACGACTTGAAAGCACACAATAACAACAACAATCCTATTTCATCAGCCAAAAGCAGGCCCACACTTCCCAATGAAATACTAATAATTTTAACAAATACTTATATTTGTTAAAATTGTTCTTCATTTTAATTATTGTATTGTTCTAAAGTGTTTTTGCACTACAAATAAGATACATGCACTGTGCATAGGAATTCATTCATTTTTTTTCCAAATTATAATCCGGCCCTCCAACAGTTTGAGAGACTATGACCTGGCCCTTTGTTTAAAAAGTTTGTGGACCCCTGATCTAGATTGTCCAATTTTTTTTGTTCTTTGACGACTTGTATGACAGTAACAAATTGTATGAACATACTAGATGAAATGTACGCATTGATCATAATCCAGTTCTGTACTAGCAGATGTCTTCTAGCATAGTGGAATTTCTTTTGTCACAGTAGACCTTTGGGTCACATGGCAACCTAATCTGGTTCTGCCTTCCCATTCTGGGGTGAGAAACAATTTTGCATGAAGAGTACTGCTGGTTCATTACTTATGCCAACGGTTTCTAAATTACAGATGTCAAGACATTTCTTCCACAGATAAAAATTCTATATTTGAAAGTGAACATATTTTGATTTCATAAACTAACTGGCCAAGTTAAATAACTTTCCCAGGGACCTAAGCAGAAGTAGACATTTTTATCTGAAATTAAGGGCGGGTTTACACAAACATTTTCATTATTTGATTAATTCAACATTAATGACTTGCCATTGTGGTTAAGTTGACAGATACAAATAGGGCTTTGTAAATAAAAAAAACTCAAATAGAGCTTGTCTATACCATCGATTCATTTCCACTTGTGTGTACACACATAGATTAGCCAGCTTTTCATGTCCAGTAGCCAAATTCTATGTGAAACATACCCACTTTTGAAGGGAGAGAGAGATGTCCTAACTACAGTGCTACCTGTTACCTGATCCACAATGGCAAATCTCTGATGATGTATTCATCAAGTAATGAATATGTTTGTGTGAACCAGTCCTTAAATTGCTTCTGTTTTATTCCTTGGGGAGATTATTCTGTTTACTCTGTTAGCTTGTGAAATTGAAATATTTTCACTTTCAGAAATAGCATGTTTATCTGTGGAAGAAATGTCTTGGCATGTGTTTTCCAGAAACTGTTGGAATGAGTAATGATCCAGCACTGTTCTACTTATAGCCTCATGCTGTAATTGTGAAGAAAGAACCAAACTCTGAGTTCATCTTCATGTTTTACAGTGCTAAATAAGATGTTTTTGGTGTTCATTGGCAAACTGAGAATTCTACAAGTTCCTCAAGTCATTTAAATGGGAATTTTATTTGATGGGAGTAAACCATGATGTCAGAGGGGAAAAATTAAGGGAAAAAGTCTGCAGAATAATTAAATGCTCAAGATGTAATCTAAGCCATTTGCAATGTTTCATACTGCAGGCTTTCAGCCTTTCTTGACTTGGTGCATAACTACTCTTCTGGAAAGAGTAGTGCATTCTGTTTAAAGGAGGCACTGTGGTCCAGTTGAGATACAACTGGGAAAAAAATAATTCATTGGAGCTTTCGGAATCCTCCACTGTTGATGCTAGTCAAGGGATTCTTGGCTATTCTTCCAATCTTTGGAGGCATTCACTAGAAGAA